TCATTCCTTATCCTACCTTCATTGTCCAGTACATATATATGGTCACAAAAAAGGCAGCTAACATCTTACTCCTTTTACCATTTGTCAGTGCTAGTATAGAATGTTAATTGCTAAACATAAGTTACCTGATGAGAATTAATGTGTGCAGATTGTTTTTAAAAATGTGTTTATTTTAGCAATTGCAGTAACCATAAATAAATGTTTTTTTTCTCTTTCACACTTTTTATAACCCTTTCTTATTTGCTTTGCATTTGTATATGAAGCAGCTCGGGGCTCACCATGTTAGATGATGACTTGTCCACGGCAGATGCTGGAGCCTCTGCTACATACACAGTGCAGTGCTCTGCACTGAGGAAGAACGGCTTTGTTATGATAAAAGGACGTCCTTGTCAGATTGTGGAAATTTCTACTTCGAAGAGTGGAAAGCATGGGCATGCCAAGGTACAACCTTCTATTGCAAGCATCTGTGTTCTGAACTAGATGAAATTAGCTGTTTTATTAGTTATTTTTCTCACTATTTATACTAACATCCAAATATTTTATTTCTGGAAGCAATATCTTAATGGATGAATACAATTTCAGGTGCATCTTGTTGCAATTGATATCTTTACTCATAAGAAACTTGAGGATATCATCCCTCCTACTCAAAATGTGGATGTTCCAAATGTGACAAGAGAAGAACACCAGGTGAGACGACCCTATTGTAGAGCATTACAATATCTATGAAGTGTTGGTGCCGACTATATTCACATCAATTGGAATGAAGCTGAGAACCGATGCCAAGTCAACAAGTCAACACACAGTTTCTGCTTAGTTTTTAGACTTGTATTTTATTTGAACTTAAAATTTATTTGATCCTAACGGAATTATTAAAAAATATATATATGATATATTATATATATATATGATGATAAATTTAGCCATTATGTGCCATTTAAAGATGTTCCCATTGCTTGCTAGTACAGTACAAAATAACAGAGTAAGTATACTTAGCAGAATTATTTATGCCCCTTTCATTTTTAAACATTTATCCAAGAACCCAATAACTACTTATTTGCTAGATGAACACAAAATAGTGCATGTTTTCCGAATGGAAGACATTGATGCATATTTAGTTTTGATTTTTGACAAATTCCAGAACATGTCCTGCATTAAAGGACTGCCTGTGTTTTTTTTTGTCCTACTTGTATTTTTCATATATCAGTTTATAGATCACGTAAAATAGACAACTGCCCTCTCTTGTCTTGTTGCTAATTAATAACATTTTCATGACCAAGTCTTGGGTCTACTGAAATCCCTGCCTTTTCTGCTGGTTCTTTATTGGGCGTTGTTTTCCTTTTTTGGGTGCTGGCTGCCTTTTAGCCTTACACCTAAGGCAGAGACTGTTCTTCCAGTGGCAACTCAAGAAGTACAACATTCCACTGAATCCTCAGACTATCTTCTCAACAGCCATTATTAAGTCTGATATGTTTGCATCCATCTATGTGAAGTTGCTTCCTCCACCAAACAGGACAGGTCAAAAACTACAGCTAACAATTTTGGTTTGCAAAGAAGGCAGTCATTCCTTATCCTACCTTCATTGTCCAGTACATATATATGGTCACAAAAAAGGCAGCTAACATCTTACTCCTTTTACCATTTGTCAGTGCTAGT